TATATATATATATATATATATATATATATATATATATATATATATATATATCTGTGTGTGTGTGTGTGTTCTGGTACGAATGCGATCTTAGGAGAGAAATGAGAATGAATCTAGTGTTTTAGATTGTGAGATCTAAAGGTCACGATTGCATCAAAATTAGGTGCACCAAAATGATTTGAAAAATGCATCATGTCGAAATGCACCAAAATCCTTTGAAAATTCACAATCTCAAAATATGAGCGCATGATGCAATTTGACCGCACAATGCATCAAAACCAATGACTAGATTTTATTCTCATTTCTCTCCACAAGGTGTATTATCACGCGAACCAACCCTTATATATATATATATATATATATATATATATATATATGTATGTATGTATGTATGTATGTATGTATGTATGTATGTATGTATGTATGTATGTATGTATTTATTTATAATTTCTAGTGAATAATGGGAAAATACAAGAGTGTATATATAGGAACCTGTAGGTTGGGAACTCGTGTCCAACTAGGAAAGGGAATAATAACAATAAAATGAAACATATTAACATTCATAATCCTAACACCCCCCTCAAGTTGGAGCATGGAGTAACGAAATGGCTATCGTGGGAAAAAGGTGTGGCAAACAAGATTTTCCCAAAGCTTTGAATGTAAATCGGCATGCTGCTCAAAAGTAGACACGTGTCTCGTGCAAATGATACCATGCACAAGTTCGTCCCAAACAAGGTGACAGTTGACGTCAATATGCTTTGTACGTCATGAAAAATAAGATTAGAGGCTATATGAAGTGTAGCAGTACTATCACAATAAATAGTCATAGGATTAGTTTGAAGTATGCCAAGGGAACGAAGTAACCCTTTCAACCATTTAAGCTCACAGGTGACTGCAGGTAAGGCACGATACTCGACTTTGGCCGAAGAACTTGCCACTATGGTCTGCTTCTTTGTTTTCTGTGAGACTTGTGAGTCCTCTAAATCAAAAAACTAACATGTTAGGGACCTTCGGGTGATTGGACAAGCTGCCCAATCTTATCAACACCGACTAGTCAAATGTAAATTATTAGTGGTAGAGAGAAGGATTGTATAATTAAACATAACCGACATAATCGAAACTGTTGGATTGCATAAAGGATCGACATAATTAAAATCGATTCAACATTATCTGACTAGTCCCGTCTCCCGTCGACATAATTAAAGTTGATTGTGTCGGATTGTTGGCAATCTAAATTCGATATCTAAAGGATCGACATTATTAATGTCGAAATCTGATTTGCGATTGAGTGAAGTCAATAGTATCTGATTATGTCGGCGTATTTCATCGCTCTAGATAAAAGAATTGAGGGGGGGTTACGAAAGAAATATGCAGAAAAAAGAATTGAATCACTTTGGGATTGGTGATTTTTATAGTTTTTTCTATTTTGTTATGGTAAGAATATGATTATGGTAGAAATAGAACTTTACATATTTACTCTCCATCTTCTTATATAAAGAGGTTAAAGGCTTAAAGCCTTTGTAATTTGTAATTTGGAAAATAAAGGGGGAGGAGGAGGAGGAGGAGGAGGAGAAGAAGAAGAAGAAGAAGAAAGGCATCACTGTGTGATTCGTTTGATTATGTGTTGTCCAATCTGGGTACTCGTATTTCTGCACTTCATCCTGAAGGGGGGGTTACGAATATGCAGAAAAAAGAACTGAATCTCTTTGGGATTGGTGATTGTTATTCAAATTTCCATATAGATAAAAATGTTATTATTGTTAAAGGAAACTATAGTTTAACTACTACTCCTTAGTTAGAATATGTCTTAAGATCTTTATTCACTACTACAGAATAACTCTTTAATAGCGCCGAATAGACAGCGTATAAATGAGAACCGCTGTCTATTCTTCCAAGAAAAAATCCCGCATCTATGAAAATCACAAGGCTTTAATTATTGTATTAGGAGTACATTCAGCAGCGGATAAAAAAAAGGCCGCTGCCTTCTCCTATGCAGTTTGAAAGACTTCTCAAATTAAATACGGAGTAAGATTATATTGGTCGCCATCTCTCCACTCTCCCCCATCTATAGTAATCCATATCCTTTCTCGCCAATCTCCAGAAATCCACGCCATCTCCCCCATCCCCCTCTTCTCCTGTAATCGACACAATCTCCCCCATCTTTTATAATCAAACCATCACAATAACGAGGTTTCTCTCTCTAGGTTGAGACGCTGGAATCTTCGTCCATGAACAGTGATCCGCGACTCTCAAAATCGGAGATTCCCCTTGAATTTGTTGATTATTTTGACTGATTTTTGTTTCTCTTGGTGTGAAATTTGAAGCTCTATTATAATCTGAATTTTCCGCTGCAGATTTGGGCGTGAATCGCAGAAAATCCGACGCACTCATTGTCCATCCTCATACTTCGCAGGTCTGATTTCATATGCTTCCTCTCCAAATTGAAGTATAATTTTTAGGTATTTTGAGTGATTTTCTTAGACTAATCACATTATGAAGTTTTGTGATCTTTCCATGATTTTGACCAATTTCGGAATTCGAGCATTGTTCACAGCGCAAGAGGTCCAACGCGTATTAGCTTTTAACTCCTCGTGTTATTTTTGGGTGATTCCCACGACTGATTCACAATCCTTTATTTTCTCACTTTTATGGTGTTTTTACTGGAATTCGTTGCTACTTGAGATTGTTGTTGCTTGATGTGCTTGCTGTGTGCTGATTTGGCAGCCCCCCTCTACCTTTAAGCAAGTTATGAAAGCTGCCTAAGCCAACTCCTTTAGGCCACCAACAGCAGTTGTCAGTATTCTTATTGACAGTGATTGTCACTGATGTTCTTAAGGTGTTTGTATATGTGCTTTTAGAATAACACAACAGATGGTTTATCTGCTAACTTATCCACAGCCTATTACAAGTATTTGATTTAAATTCTAATGTACAATAATGTTGGTTGCTATGTTCTTGTTTGCAAAACTGCAGGAATTAAGTCTACTTGGGAAGTGAATGTTTTTATTGTATGTTGTGTGGAGTTATTGAAAACACCACTTTTGTATTTTTACTAAATCATTCTTATTTTGGATTTAAATTTGAATTCATAAGATTATTTGGTACTACACATGCTGCTGCTAGGTAAATAATTTCTTAAACAAGCTCTATGCTTCATATTTATATTGTCGTTCAAACTTGTTTAGATTTTAATAATGGTAGCTAGAGTTAACTTGAAGAGTCTCTTTTAATGTCAAGCCAATTGACTGTGCTACAATTAAAATTCATGTACTAGATGCTTATATCCATTTTATTGTCAGTGAATATGAAGATCTCCAATAGGTTGAGTAGTGTTATTGGAATAAATCTGATATTCCATCACATCATTAACATTTTATTTTTTTTGTATACTAAGCAGGTGAAGATTTTTGCACTAGTTCATACAACCCAGCATCTCAAACATACTTTTAGATAGGTTTGGTCAAAGAATTTTACATTAACAACCTTGGACCAAACAAATTTGGATTATAATCAGTTTGTTTTTGTTTCTGTAATACATTAGTGATCTGCATAAAGAAAATTAATTTTGTTTCATAATTGAAAATGGTATTTATGCTAGAAGTGTATGCACTTGATACCCATTTGATGAGCTCCACCTACTGATTCTTACTTCCATAACGATATTGTCAGAAAAATAATGTCGGGTAGAAGATATCTTAATCATAAACATCAAGCCGGGCGGGAAGAAAGGTGCAAAGATGAGCTCTCAAGCATCAGTCCATCAAATTTTATGTTCATAAGGGACGAGAAACCTGACAAAGTCTTCACACGTGATGGGAATGATTTCTTATCTTTAATAGTCTAGTTGTTCTTCTCTTCATCTCCAATGTTTAACATTGTTGTTTCATTTTTCCTTGATTTTAATCATTAAATGATGAATGTTGAATATTTGTGGAGTTCATTCCTAGCAATTCATCTTTTGATGTACTCATTGATACATAAATCGGATGCTTGAGACAAAACTATTGAAATTTATATTTTAAAATAATATTCCAGTATTTTTTTTTGAAAAAAAAATAACTTTACACAGCGGATAAATATTCGCTGTTAAAAAGCGTATCATTTTTAAGGTCTCATTACACAGCAGATAAATATCCACTGTGTAATCATCCAGGATTTTTCACTACCATTACACAGCGGATGAATATCCGCTGTGTAAACATAAAACCTTTCCCACCGGCCACATACATAGCGGTTGGATTCCGCTGGGAAAGGTCAAATTTATCCGCTGTGTATTCTATGTTTTGTAGTAGTGATTGGTCCCGTTTGGAAATTTATTAAAATAAAATATTCTTGTCACTTATTATTTTATAAAAATTTTAAGTAAATTATAAATGTAAAACCTATTTTTTATTTTTAAATTAATTTTTAAATAAAATAAAGAGTGTTATTTAATATGTGACAAGATTCTAAACGTTGTTTGAATAGTGTAAATTATTTTGGGATGAAAAGAGTATTATTATGACCACTCTAATTTACAAACTAATTGCCCATTCAAACTTTATGTCATTCAAATGAGTTCATTGGCCGCGTGGAAGAATTTATTGCTTTTTCAACCGTTCAAATCGAATATCTTGATGGGAATAAGATTTGATGTCCTTGTTCCAAATGTAAGAACAAAAAGTTTTTAATCTCAGAGACATCAAGGGAACAATTCCCTCTGTGGGAAGTTTTTAGGGAGGAATTTCTCCACTCAAACTATTGCATGTTATACATGCGATTACTTTTTTTGTTTCAGAATTTTCACATGTACTACATGCAAAAACATCAACATCAAACTTTCATCACTCAAGTTTTTTCCCAGTTGATATCACTCAAGCTTTTTCCCAGTTTTTAAAATGATTTCGCATGTACTACATGCAAAAATATGTCACTTTTTTTATTAAATAATTTCTCCCCCAAATGCATATATGCATATGGTTCCTTAAAGAATATATAAATAATATTATGTATTTTTATATATAAATATTTTTTTACATATCATTAAATATGTATTATTGAAATTTTTGAATATCAACATCAATAATAAATTTAAGAAGCAAATATGATTAAATATTAATTATAATGAACCAGTTTTAAGAAAGTACACAACATAAAAAACATAGAAAAAAGTACAATTATTTAAACACACAATAAAAAAGTACACTTAAAAAATAATTAAAGCATAATTATTAATTTGCCCTACGATCCATCTGTCCCGGATAACGATTTTGTTGACGACGTCCTCGACGGGGAGTCTATTCTAAGGGACGTATTGGTGGCAAGACTTTCCAATCACCAACATTCAGATTTTCTGGAAAAATGAACGGTTCAATCCAACCACTGTAACAACTTAAATATCTCTGAACAGAGTATTTGTCTAGAACAAGATCATCTACAAGTTGTTGAAAAGAATGATACATGCCATGAACATGCACACAAGGGATTCCATCTACAATCCATTGTCCACACGTGCAAATGTTATTAGCCAAATCCACCATATAATTGTACGTAGCACCTAGATCAGAACGAGAACTATGGCTAAGTACTATATACTGATAGTTACCATAATTTGTAGCCACCCACTTGTGCTTTGTCTTCTCACGGTGATGAAGAATTGTTGTAATTTTAGGAGTTGTGCGGATGTTCTTCTGCATCCACTGAAGAGCAATCTTGTGCCTTTTTTCAAATGATTCAACCAATTTATTGTAGGACATCTTCAGTATTGCCGTAACTGGCATCATCCAACAACCTTTGAGCATATTATTAAAACTTTTCGAACTATTGGTTGTAAGAATTCCACATCTATTTCTACCATCATAGCAGAGAGTCCATGCCTCGCGCGCAGAATATCGTTCAAGTACTTATATGCAGCTTCATTTGCATACCTTATTTCTGCCATGTACTCATTAAACTGTTCGATGTTGGCTGTGCTCCCAGCGGCCCAAACTTTACGTTTAAGGTCACTTTCATGAAATTTATTCATGAAATTGCTGCGGACATGCCTTAGACAATAACGCTTGGTTATGAACCTAGTTTGTAGCTCAGGGAGATCACGATATGCATTGATAATGCCTGCATGCCTATCAGAAATTACACAAACCCGATGCGAACGAATAACTCTTTGAACAAGAAGACGAAAAAACCATGCCCAACTGTTAGATGTTTCCCCGTCAACTACAGCATATGCAAGCGGGAAAAGTTCTCGATTTCCATTGAGCGCCACCGCCAAAAGTAGGTGACCCTTGTACTTTCCGTACAAATGGGTCCCGTCCACCGTCACCACAGGTAAGCAATACTGTAAACCATTAATGGCTGCTGGAAATGCCCAAAATGCATACTTAAAATGCGGTCCTTCATCCGGGGTAACATTGAGGTTGGGAGGGTGTGAAGAGTAAACAACCTCAACGATTGTGCCTGGGTATACATTTTGAAGGTTATATAAGATAAATGGGAGGTGCGTGTAAGAGTCCTCCCAACTGCCGTGTAACATCTCTGAAGCATGGATTCCACCCATCCAACATTTTGACTGACATGTTGACTCACACTGTACTGTTCTGATTTCGCATGTAGTACACGCGATTTTGACTCTGATTTTGACTCTGATGCACTTTACTGATTTCGCATGTAGTACATGCAAAACAAATGAAATTCAAATTTTTTTGTTTCATATTTCGAAATTAAAAAAAATTATCAAATTAAGAATTTTTTTGGTTTCCTTCATATTTCGAAAAAAATATCAAATTAAGAATTTTTTTTGTTTCCTTCATATTTTGAAATTTTAAAAAAATTATCAAATCAAGAATTTTTTGTTTCCTTCATATTACTGCATACATATGAGTGAAGTGGTGGGTGAAGGGGTGATTTGAATAAAAATATATGAGTGATAATTAAGAAGATGAATATTAATATTAGTGCATACAAAATTCATTAAAAAACATCTTCATAATTTCAAAAAAAAATATATATTCATGTAAACACTATCTTAAAAAAAAATATTCATTAAAAAACATAATTTCGAAAAAAATATTTTCATAATTTTTTATAAAAATTAAATATACTATGGAGCACATAGATGAGAATATATAAACACAATCTTAATAAATCAAATGAAAATGAAAACTAATAAAAACATAACATCTATAATCAGTTTTATTAATATTTAAAAGCTAAGTGAAATATAAGTAATAAAAAAAATACCTGAGAAATGTTGAAGATTATGGATTAGTGTGAAAATAGGTTAAATTTGTGAGTGTGAAAATAGAGTAAAGTAGTGGGTGAAGGGGTGGTTTAAATAAAAAAAATATGAGTGATAATTAAGAAGATGAAAGAGTGGGTGAAGTTAGATGGTTGGGAAGGAGGTGGTTGAAACATGTGGTGGAGAGGAAAAGGTGGGAAGTGGAAAAGGTGATAAAAGTGGGTGGGGAAAAGGCTATTATTTTCGCATGTACTACATGCAAATCTATTAAAAAAACGAACCCCGTGTAGGACATGCGATTTTACTGCAAAATCTGCAGAAGAATTGACAGTTCTATAATTTTTTTTTAAGTTTTTTTTGAAATCGCAGGTAGTATGTGCGAATTTTCTTCCCAGGAATTTAATGTTCCACTTTAGGAATTATTTTTTCCTTTTTTTCCGTCTGAGGGAAACCACCCGACATCAAGTGGCATTCATTTAGTCCGAGTTTGTGAAAAAATTATTACAATTGACATTGTCAAGACTCGTCTTATGATGCAAAATGTTACAGCTGATTTCAAGAAAAAAGTGAATCCACAATAAAAGCTTGATTTTAACCTTTTTCTTTAATTTATCAGATCTACTTGTATGCAAAATTCATTGATCAGATAGTCGATTATTCTTTTTCGGCTTTGTTCTCTAATTTTGTTTTTAAAAAAATATTGAACTACACAGATCAGGTCTTATCTATTTTGTACACGTATTGTCGATAAACGTTCATCATTTGTAATTCTAATCAACACAAGATTAGCAAACTTTTCAGTTACTTCACACAAACTTGTGAACCAATAAATGACTGCAAAATATTCCATAACAAAGATTTCATAACAAGCATGGTTAGCATAGCCATTATTCACATACTCCGTGTGGGTAATATATATACACCCGAAAACGGGTGTGCCATAGCCAAAGACCATAAGCATGTTCTTTTCCGAACTCTGATCTCAGGCCATGAGGAATTTGGTTGGTGATGATTCCTGAACCTAAGCCTAGGGTACAACTGGTTTACAAGAAGAGCTCTCAAAAATCTATGGTTTGGGTCCTAATGCCTAAAGCAGTGTAATGAATATAGTCATACTGCTGCTAACAAGTATTAAAAGCCAAGCACGGCTCGTCCTTAAGACCTTATCGGACATAGGGGATCCAAACAAAGTCAAGACCATCTCCGAGACTAGCTTAAATATAGCAATGCAGGCGAAAGAGAAGCTCACTGTAAGCACCGCAAGCTCTTTCTTCTCCAAGCTCGCTTGATCATTCACAACTTTTTCGACATCTGATCTGTGAATGAGCATGTAGGGAAAAACATAAGGCTATACGAAAAGTATGAATTAACCTAAATATTTCAGAAACTTTGAACTGTCATGGGGGGAAATGCAATATAAGAAACTAAAGAATTATGGTGTTGTTGTCATCAATGAATGACAAACTAAATTCAAAGATGCTTTTTGTTATTTTACCTTCACTCTTTAAATTTGATGTTTTTTCAAAAGTGGACAACTAAACTCGGACGGAGGAAGTATATATTTAAATAATCATGATGTGATCATGTTATACAGATTAACTTAAACTAACGAGATTTAGAACAAAGTTGGATATTTAGTGTAAATACTTTTACCTCAAAATGCCATTTTCCTTTACCAACAAATCCACTTGAGTTGAAACAGAGGATTTCCATGTCTCCATGTCAGCTACTCCTTTTGCCTGAGGATGAACAAAAGACTAAGGAATATACACGCTTTCTCAACACAATAAATTATATAGTACTCCAAAGGTTCCAACAAAATTGTCATTTTAGAAGATCTCACACGTATTAGGGAGCCATTAAAGATGACAAAATGTCCTTATTTAAGTCTAAGTACAAATGCAGTTTTTTTAAAACACACATTAAAGTATTTACATTAAAATAACAATAACAAACCCAGTATAATCCCAACTCTGTTGGGTCTAAGTAGTCAAGATGTAACATGTCAAAGTATTTATGGAGTATATCTAAAAGAGTTAAGATAGGTGGGACATTTAAAAAAATGATCTCTTTGATTCCTAAATGAAAATTGTTTTGGCTCAAACCTTTGTGACCTAAACAAAATTTGGTACCAATGGTACATAGAGAGGGAAGCATACCATGATCTCCTTCCACTCCAACATAGTCTTGATCTCCAATTTGTTTTTCTCCAGTAGCGTTGAAAGCTGAGACATATCTTTATCTAGCTGAGGCAAAAGCTCCCCTTGTCTTTTGTTCAGTTCTTTTATGTACTCCTCCAGCACCGATAAATTCAGCTCAAGCGATCTCACCTTTTGCAAAAGTATCTTAAGAACAGCATCACCGTGAATTCTGCTATTTGTTGATTGTCTAACTTTCCCTGGATCAGGAATAGTGTTTAAATTCAATGTCTTCTTTGGCACTTCCACTTTAGGCTTTTTCCCATCATCACCATTTTCTATTCCCTTGGGTTCAATCACGCGATGAGCATCATCATCTCTTTTTTGGCTGGTGGGTCCCAGTTCTGGTATTAAGTAAGGTGAAACGGTTGAATTTGGATCTTGCAATTTATTAATAGAAGGCTCTCCAGAAGTGACAATAAGGTCCTCTAGCATCTGTTCGATTGCATCCACACCGTACACCTCTACAACACTGAGCGTGCAGTAAAATTCGGAACCATAATGACTACGCAAATTCAATCTCAAGTATCTGACCCATTTAGGTTGAGGCAGCTTAAAGCATTGTAAATGCTTAACATTTTCAGCAACAAAAGACCCTAACGGTTCCCATGTCTCGCTTGGGTATTCTAAACTCCCCAATAACTCAAATTCTTTGAAATTTGATGAGTAGTGCTCAAAGTTGGCTATTTTTATGACATCAACCAATGTTTCATGAGCAAGTTCAATGACAACAAATTTCCAGCTCACAGAGCAAGGATTCCTTAGATACTTATCATGATCCTTCCCCAAGATATTGCCCGCTCCTTTTGCTTCCTTATTATGAGCCACCACTTTAGCACCCTTGGAAGCTGAGGCATAGTTGTACGGTGTTCCATCAGGTTCAAGCCTATGGGTGATGTTACCTAGCGGGTTCGGTGCATCCCACCCCATTGCCTGCTTTGTACTGTTTCTCAACTCATCAAGATCGGGATAAGTTAACTGACTTCTATCACTCAGAGGCTTTTCCAGTTTCTTTCCATCATTGGGTCCTAGAGGTTGAAGTTGGCACATTACTGCACTGTAACCCAACATACTTGAGACAACATCTTCTACTCTACTGGTTCCCCGAAGCGAATACTCGTTGATTGCATTGTCAGGAGTGGCCTCTTTGATAATCATGGTCACATTGACATCTACATGCAGTTCCTTTTTACAACCCGTCTCTCCCCCTTTTTCTAAGGGGAAATAGGAGTTGGAAATATTACTTTCGGAACCAACCGAATGACACCCACTCTCATTATAGCTCTGCAATTCACCTGCACAAACTCCACTGGGGGAACCTGAACAAAACATTATACACAAACTCACTCAAAACAAACACAAATTCCTTCAAATTCACAGTAGAATTCCGCTCACATCACATCACCAAAAGTTACTGATTTGTTGTTAACCATTCAAGTTCAAATTACACAATTTTATGGGCTCGCACAACAAAATCTGTCTATACCCAATAAGAAACTAGGTTCAAATTTAGAACATAATTTGATAGGAAATAAATTACTCCCCTAATATCTTTTCCAGCAAGAAATAAACGATCAGAACATAATAATTAACAAAGGGTCATTTACACATCTGGAATTTATAAACATATAAGCAAAATCAGACAAGGCTTAAAATCCCCAATCAAGGCCTAATTACGAGCATAGACATGAAACCATCACATACAATCTTCGAATATGGACGACAGGAGAAATGGGTATTCCAGAAAACGGCTCACCATGGCTATTGCCACGAGTAAGGCCGAATGCAGAATAGAGCAGGCAAAGAAGACACCAAAAGGAGAAGAACAATGGGAGAGACAGCTCGCGGAGATCCTCTCTGTTCTTGGCGTCCTTGTGGCGATTGTTAAGGCTGTTCTTCACACATTCAACGTTACGGGACAGCTTCCTCATCTCTCTCTGTCTCTCACTGTTCCGTCATCAATTTGGATTTGTTTCTTCTTCCGGAAAGGGATCAATCTAAGGAACTGGGCAATTGTTATTTCTTGTTTTCTCTGTCTTTTCTTCTTCTTCTTCCTCTTTTTCTTGGGTCTGGGTGCTTGTTTGTTGGGAGAGTGTGGTGCGGTCCTTAAGAAGCGGTCAGGGGAAAACAACTAACCTACTGGCTTCATCATTTCATGAATTAACGAAAAAAATATATGGACCATGCTACACTTATACAAAAAAATGTACCCCACTTGTACATCACAGTTTTACACAAATATTTTGATGGTTTACACTGACACAATTGTTGGTGCGTTAACAAAAATTTACACGGACACAAATGTTGATGCGTTAACAAAAAATAGTTATACACTAACACAAAATGTTAGTGCAAACCTGCAGGGTATAAATGTTGGGGTACACATAGCTTAATCCAAAAAATATACTGCCTAGGCCTTTAGGTTTTAACTTTTTTTTAATCACTTTTTTTCACATAATTTAAATAAATAAATAAATATTATACTTTCTCTGTCTCAGAAAGATGTTTCTATTTTGATTTTTAGGAAATTTAAGAAAAAGATATTTTATGTTAACTTTTCAAAAATACCTTTGATGTGATGGAAAAAAGTAAGATGTTGATGGCGTAAATTAACCTGACCCGTATATCATTATTAGCCGGGCAAGAACGATAAATTAGTCTAACAAAATACACCAAAATATAAGAATAAGAATTTTGACGTGGAAACCCAATCGAGAAAAAATCACGAGTCTTTTTTGACAGTATCTTGCTAACGTGTGATTTTTATTAATGTCGAGGTTATACACAGTACACGATTTGGGCCTTGAAGTCATTAATGAAACATTTTAACTTTTGAAGAAGAAAATATACTGCAAAATAATCTAAAGATAGAGAGAAGTAGGCAGGGAGAGGGAGTGGATTGGCCTCCCTTTGATGGAGAGTCCTCATTTTATAGGATGAGAATATTCTCTAATTCCTCCATTTTATTAAACAGATTTGGTTTGATTGTTCTTCGTAAATAATTAGGAAATATAGACTGAGCCACGTATTATTTCTCATCAAGAAGTCTTCCACTTTTTTAAGTTGTGAGAATCATCAACTTAAGAAAGTAAACAAGTCCTCCGAGTACTATCTTCAGTCTTCATATGTAATGTTATAGATCGTTTGAACTTGCTAACCCTTCGAGTCTTCATTAACTCTCTATTTTGAATCAGATATTTTTATTGCAAAAATAATACGTACAACATTTTTTTGACCTGTGTCTCAGTCTTCTTCCCTTGAAATTTTTTAAAGGCACACGTGCTCCAAGATACATATACCCAATTCGATTGGGCTCAACTCATTTTCTCATAGAGTACTCAAGGATGTAGGGAATTTCAATTCCATCTGATTATGATTGAATCACAAATATGATCTACTTTTTTTTATTATGATCTACTTTTTTTATGATCATAATCAGATGGAATTGAAATTCCCTTTGATTATGATCTACTTTTTTTTATACGAAGTTTCCTCCTGTCACCACAAATAATTGCTCTCTTTTATCAAGTATAGTGGATATTATTACGCGGTCATAGCAAACTTTTCTGACAATTGCCTTTTGCGTCATAATTATGTTTAGACTGTCATAGTCGCATTTAAATGGATATATAATTTTTAATTATATTCGTTTGTTATTTATTATCACTATGATTAATATATAAGAAATCACTTTACATAGCACTCTAATTCCCCAAAAATACGCATTTAGCATTATCCATTGTTTTTTACAAACTTAGCACTCTAATTCCCCTTTTTATTTTTTTTATTAAAATTAGGTTATTGAAGAAGTTTAATTACAGCACTTGACGTGCGACTCCACCTACGCGGGTCTCCTTCGTCTACGTTTTCACTCATTCACCCATTACTAGAGATTCCTTCGCCGATTAGCAGCGGCGATCACCAATCACCATATCTCTCTAAGCAATGGATAAATCAGGTTCTCTCACATGCTTCCTTCTTCAATTTACCTGTATTTTTTTGTTTTAATTGTTGTTTTTTCTTTTTACGTAATGGGCGAATCCACTACGCCGGCTTTTTCTTTGTACCATATTCGGATTTTTATTGGACACCATTAATTATTGTTTTAATAAAATTACGCTAAACACAGTAGCGGCAATGCCTTTCACTTATTTGGATTTCACAGTGGCTGTGTTTATTGAATTGTAGTTGGCAGTGAGATGTTTAGGTGTTGTGAAATCATTTTTGAAATACTAAGTATTTGGCCCTTTTAAAAATCGGCAAGGTTCAAGTGACATTGCCGGGCAATGTCACTTGAACCGTGGGGTTTAAAAATTTAGATGTTTTGAAAGGCATTGCAAACATGGCAGTGAGGGTCTGCACTAGTTGGATGTAAGGCTCACCTGGTGTAGTTGTTATTTTCTCTTTCTGTTAATGTTTCTGCTATAAGGACTGCCTATTGAGTCTATCACCCTTTGAAGTACTCTTTGAGTTAATATATTTGCATTTTGTTGTACAAAAAACTATTATAAAGCATTAATATTGTTTTGACTAATATGATTTTTTTGGGAGACAAAATATGTCCAACAACTAGACTCTTTTATGGGATGCAGGGGATATATCTTAATTTATAATATTTTTATTAATTAAGAACACATATATTTCTAAAAGAGCACATATGCATTTGAACTTTTCCCCTCATTGTAAAAATTTGGGTATGCCATCATGGTATGCAAGTACACACTAGATTAGGTGTTATGGTGTGGGCAGTGAAGATTAAATGTTTAAATTTTGTCCTGCATTTTTATTTGAGTAAATTCCATAATGGGTCCTTTATAACAGGGGGGTTTCTCTATTTAGTCCTCTATTATCAAATATTACTCCAGCGATCCTTCTTTTATGGGTATCTTTCCATAAATAATCCTTTTTTGATCTTCAATCATGTTTGTGTTAATTTGAGGGCTAAAAGTGTAATTTCACAATGATAATATATTTTTTTTGTCATACACAATTCCAAAGACTGTTCCGTTTGCGTCGTTTGTAAATTACAGTCACTTTCTACTACAACCATAGTCTACAAATGTGGTCTTTCGTCTGAATACTAGCCCACAATCATAGTCATTATTTTTGTGTTATTCGCTTAACCAATATCAGAACGGGTCACTAGACATAATGTAAATGTCAAATTATACTTTTAGCCTTTAAATTAACACCAACATGGTAGAAGATAAAAAAGGACTATTTGTGAAACAACTCCCTTAAAAAAGGACTACCGGGTAATATTTGATAATAGAAGACCAAATATGGAAACCCCCTTGTTATAAAGGACCAATTATGGAATTTACTCTTTTTATTTTTATTTATTTCCTATTTTCTTTGTATTGAATGTCTTAATTATGTCTAAGTAGTTAGCATAATTTTATAAAAAACAAAGCTGCTTCATTGAACATTAATGAAGTAAAGTTGAAAGTGTGTTGTGCGATGTATTTGTTTAATATTTTGAAATTCGCAATCTGACTAAAACGCCTATCATGTATATATAACGATGTGTTTTTGTATTCACCACCTCCATTAAATCCAGCATTTTCATCACATATTAGGTTATACGTCTATTCTTTGAGTTCATTCCTTTATTTAATTTAATTAAATATTTTCTCTTTTATTATTTAAAAGGAGCATCACAGATAGGTTCAAATTTGAGGATATTGCTACATGTTGATGGGACATGGGATACTCATGGAAGTTTTACTTCAAAGTATAACACACTGATTAAGGTCCCAGTTGAAACTTCATTCCAATCTTTCTTAGATTTACTCAAATCTGTCATACTTATTGATTGGTCTCGGAATACTGTGCGTCTTTCTTTTATTGTTGGGTCCTCCCCCCACCTATTGTTGTTTCTGATGATTCCGAATTACTATTCTATCTGAAATTGAAGTCGTTCCAAAATGACACTTCACACCTGCCACTATGCGTAGAGCTTTATCTCAATTCCACAGTCCACCCACAAAGTAATGACGTCACTACCCACAATGATCATAACTTTCTCAATGAGGCATATGTTAACTCTGGTTGCAACGCTAATCTACAAAGCAATACATACTCTACACCTCAGAGGAGTGGTAGTGGAATACTAGGTTATGGGAGTTCATGCACCCAACGAAGTCATGTTGACAATCAAAATACAACAGACCCTATAGCTCCCGGTGGATCATCATCTTCTATAGATGTCATATCACATTATCATCCTACCACCATTAGGGTTGACAGTATCTACAAGTCAAAGGATGATTTATGCAAACATCTACAAATGTATGTTGTGTCTAATAGCTTTCGGTATAGGACACATAGGTCAAACAAGTCATGTTTGCACGTTGTTTGTCTTGATGATCGTTGCTCATGGACCCTTCGTGTTGTTCGAGTAGATAATTCACCCTTTTTTCGGATACGCAGGTACGCTTTTATACTATTAAAAGTTTGTTACATTATATATATTTTTTTCAAAACAAAAAAATTAATACACGCAAAACATACCTGCTGATCACACTGCCCAAATTTGGCAGTGTAGTTGAAATCACAAGGTGTGGCAGTGTACCAAAAAATTTTGTTTTAATTAGGCAGTGCGTTTGCAGTGTATTTGCATACACATGCAGTGGCAGTGTAACACATGCAGCGCTATAAAACAAATCACTTATCAAAAGTAAAAAAATTTCGAGAAGGCTTAGAAAAAACCCATATAAGAGTATTTAATAAATTACAGTTTCACGTCTCTCAAAAGACTTCGCCAACATCTCAGTCGCCTTGTCAATAAGTTCCAAATCATGAGGACTGATTTGTGTATCACCAAAGGGTATCTCTGATGGCTTGTAACATTCTTCAGCGTGACTTCCTTCAGCTACTAATACACTGCCACTACCATTAATCTTGTTCCCATCACTAGCCCCACCATCTTTTGCCATGGGAGTAAGTATTTCAAAGGACGATGCATTGGGAATCACCATTATTTCTTCATCATTCTCCAAATTCTCTCTATCATCATCCTTTACCTCCTATATAATGCAATCCTTCTCTAGTTTCATTTGCTCATTCTCTGCCATCAAACTATCCTTCACTGTGTGTGTAACTTTCTTAGAGCTTACATCTTTTTGTTGAAGCATAACCAAAATTTGATCAATCTTCTTGTCTTGTTCTGCTTGCTTAGCCATAATCTCCAGCATTACTTTCATCAATTCCTTGTGCTCACATGCATGCTTTTGAATACGTTCCTCTTTCCTTACGTTGGACCCATAAGCCATATCATTACCACCCACACTGCCAAAACCAACCATATCTACCTCATCATCTCCACCCTGCTTTGAAGCCATCTCTCCACCATCTTCTGTCAACACCGCACCGTCTGATCTATCTCCTGACCCTCTTCTTCTTATCACGTGCTCGCTTCACATCATGCAGCGATAACTTCTTCTTTCCTTTGGCGGTCTGGGTTTTCTCACAAGGAAATAGCAATTTTACACTGCCCAGTTTCATCTCATCAACGGTAGGCACGACTGGATTCAACAAGTGTAATTGAAAAATACATAAAAATATACTCATATAAGGCCATGTGAAAAAATAATCAAAAAATATAATCTTAAAATTTACCTTCTCAGATTTGAATAGTGCATCAGCCACTTTCCCTGCACTAAACTTGGCACAAACTTTCCACTTCAAACAACGTGGTATGCACACTTCTCTCCCAGGAGACAGCATACACATCCCAGCCTTTGCAAGTGAGGGGAAAGTCTCAAATGCCCATATTTGTAGTGCAAACATGTATCCTCCAAATGTAGGACGAGAAGTTCCACACTTTTCAATACTTAGTCCACATCGATGGACATGATCAACCAAGTCTGATCACACTTCATCTCCCCATGGGAAACTATAGAACTCATCTATATCATCCACTAAGTTTATATAGCACCTCAAGAATTTTACTGTCAGCTGGTTACCTAAAAATAAATGTGACAAGGCATAAACCAATGACATCTTAAGTGCATCACTTGTTTGTGCCCCTAGTGCATCCCGCTTAAAATTTAAAAAAGATGTGGAAATGTCTCGGCACTGCACTAATTTTTTCCCGAGGAAGAACCTAGACGCAAACCTTCCTCTCAGATTATTATCCATATCCCTCTGTTACCACCCATCTTTAAACCAATGATTAAATGAAATTGTTCCTTCGTCAGATTCACATCATTTCCATGAATGCGAAAAGTCTATACTTCTTTTTTACTTTCATCACCATATGGCCTATCACAATTTTTCACTAAAGTAATAAGTAAATGACCACTAATCCATGGAAACTCTGCAACATCTAATAAAACGCCAAACGGAGATTCTCTGAATCTGACTAGTTCTTCAACACTCGGAATTTTCTTTATCTGTTTTGCGACCTCATTCACGTTACAGTACGTGTTAATCCTCCCATCTTGCAGAACACCTTTAGGGGCCACTTCAGCTTCCTACAACAACAATAGAGCACCAAAGTAAGCTTCACAAAAACACACACTGCCATCAATCCACACAAAAAACACTGCCAATAAAAATTTCAACTCATTGCCAACATTCACAAAAAAACCCACTGCCTAAATAAAACATCCAAAAAACTGAATAAACAAACAGCCAAAAAAACAAAAAAACCAAAAAAACCAATTACATTTCAGAGGAGAATAAAAAGGTCAAAAAATACACTGCCAAAGAGATATGATATCCTTAAGACTGGCCAAGATCTTAATTGCCCAGTCCTCTTATTTGGAGCTAGGCCCTCAGAGAGTTGTGGGCCTGTTCCATTAAGCCATGCCTCAAGAGCATTTGCAAATGCATGAGCCATCCTTTGATAGGCATCACCAGTTGGCGATGTGTACCTCCTGATCTATATTAATTGTTCTATTGCAGACCCATGATCAAAACAAGCAATAGATCACGCAAAAACCAGAATTTTCACGTTACTATCACAATTTTGGACTAAAGTAATACACTGTCTAATTTTCATGTTACTCCCAAAAAAAACACTGCCAAGGACCAATGTCTAGCCCATTACTACATCTAAACGATTACCATGAAATACCCATTAACATTAAATACCCACTACCATTAATTACAAACTGTAATTAAATTTTTATAGTTTTTTCCAAGTAAACAGTAAATGTAAAATTGTTTTTGGGAAGGGAGTGCTTGTTATCAAATCAATTATCTATTCTTCTTTAAACCTACTACCATCAATTCACAAAAAACACGCTGCCAACGACGATTTAAACCCACTACCAACATTCACCAAAAAAACTCACTGCCTCAGGTAAAAAAACATAAAAAAACACACAGTCAAGAAACAAAAACCCAAAAAATTAATTATGTTTCAGTGGAGAACAAAAAAATCCAAAAAACACACTGCCCAGAAACAAAAAACCCAAAAAAAATTACATCCAACATTCACAAAAAAAAAACTAACGGTTTTTAAAAACCCAAAAAAAACATTACGTTACAAAAAAACACACTGCCAACCTTTAAAAACAAAAAAAACCCACTAGCCACTGCCTAAGGGGAAAAAAATCTTTTGCTAAAACCACAAAAAATTCATTGCAGTGGTTCTTCACGGTTTAGGCAATGATGTTCTTCTCTGGCATTAGTCAAGACACCCCTATTGAATTCATTGGCAGTGGTTCTTCAATATTTTTTTGCCAAACAATTACACAATACATAACACAAACCCTAAACGGTGCGCTATGACTATTGTGAAACCAAAAACAAGCCAAATCTAATGCCAAAGCTAACAATTCACTACCAAATTAAACAAATGTATTGCCGATAAAATAACTAGTATGCCAAAGTACTACCAACCTTACAACTATGCCAAAGTAACGAATTCACTGCCAAAACCAAACATACATGTTTCTTCTCCAAACTTTTGCTTAGAGAAATCTCGTTCAGCGCATCATCGCTTGTCATTGAAACCCTAGCACTGCACGCATCTCCCTTCTCGAAACTGCTGCGTTCAAGGCCGTGTGTTTTCCGGTAATATTGCATGAACCACTGCCGCGTTCAAGGTCGTGGAGCTCTGGCCGTGAATTCTCGGTAAATATTGCTTGAAGGTAGGCGGCCAATTACTACTTTTTAACCTAATTGAGTATAATACAAATTTGTTTAATTAAGGGCAATATTGGGAATTCATCTCAAAAATTTATAGCACTGCTATTTTGCGTATTATAAGCCTATTAAAGTGGTATATTTGTATTACTCCAAACGTTCGGGACAATTTCTTGGCTAAAATTTTTATTATTTCATTTAACATATATTTATTTAATATTTTATTTTGAACACTACATTTATTTAGAACATTTATCTACTTACCATCTATGTTTTACACGGAACTTTTATAATTATATTATTCATTTACCATTTATTTATTTACTATTTTATGTAAAACACTCCATTTGTTTAGAACATTTATTTACTTACTATTAACATATTCCTCCATGTTTCGTGTTATTTTACATTTTTTATTTTATTTAGAACAATCCATTTATTTAGAATAATTATTTACTTACCATTATTTAGAACATTTATTTACATACCATTGTCGAATTCTTTTAGGCTATACGTGAGTGATGTTTCAAAACTTACCATTTTATTTAGAACACTACGTTTATTTACTTACCATTACTATCACAATGTGCATAGGCGAAAAAAACCTAGTGCAGAATTCCTTTGCTTTTAAGAATAAGAGGATTATAATTCAATACTACGTATATTTTTTTCCACAATTTATAATTAAAATATTGCATAGTTATTAAATAAAAAATTTGGGTGAGGGATTAGAGGTATTATTTTAAGGATAAAGTTATTTGTACCCCAAGAGTTTGTATCTCATTTGTACACCGCAGGTGTGCATCAATATTTTGTATTGGTGTAATGTTATTTTTTGTTAACACACCAACATTTTGTGTCTGTGTGAACTATCAAAATATTAGTGTATACTTTTCGTGTAAGTTTGGGGCACAAATGTGGCAAGGTCTACGAGTGGAATGTTCTTTTCCCTTAAAAAAAATTAAGTGCTTTGGACGAAGTGGTGTTGATGCATTATAGATTTATAGATAGCCTAATTTTTTTTCATCTTTATGCATTTTCCGGTCAAACGCATTTTGCACGGACAACGGCTATTATTCCGCTCTCTGCGCCACTTCCTCGTCACCACCTTAACCTGAAATTCAAGAACCCGGCGAAATCATCGGAACTGTCAGGACCCCTGAAATCCAACCAGCTCCCAATTCCCCGCCTTTGTGGGACTTCCCATTCCCAAAAAAGTTTATAAAGCCACTGTCCCTTGCCCTTTTGCCTTTTGATTCTTTCATTTTTGTAAAGAATCCAACTCTGCTCTCCCAAAAAAAATCAAGAAAAATCATAAGAGCAAACAGGATTTTTCGCCCCTGCAACTGCAGCATTCACATTCTTGCCCCAAATCTTTTCTCTCTCAAATGCTCTCCGGAACTGGTTTTCGCCTCCGGGCTGATATTGGTTTTCCCTTGTGATGATTTGGGGTTCTTTGTGGTGATTGTCTTGAAAAGCTCTCATATTTCGTGTTTCTTGATCATCCCTTTTCCCCGATCAGGACATTTCCCATGATGTAACCTCTCTGCAACAGAAAGTTTGAGTCTTTCTGGTTTGATCATCTTTTGATCCAACCTGTTTCTTGTTTCAATCATTTTTTCTTAGTGCTCTAATTTGTAGATGTTTGTCTGCAGGCATTTAGTTTTCCTTTTTATTTTTTTGGGTGTTTTCATTTGGGTTTCCCGGTCCGAAATTTCTTGTGTTTCGTCTACTTTGATGATCTGAGGTAGGAATCTTTTATGCGAAAACAAGAGAAGGGACCCTAGAAAATAACTTGACAATGGCTGCTGTGGTGGTGACTTTGTCCGGTCCGATTCAGGAAGAGTCGGTGAGGTCTAGTAGGCATACAAGTGTTCCTTTGTTTCTTGGCACAGACGAGTCGATTGTGATTTACATCACATTTGCTGGTTCTGTGATTCCCATGCGTGTTTTTAAGTCTGATTCTATAGCATCAGTGAAAGTAAGGATCCAAACATGCAAAGGGTTTGTAGTGAAGAGACAGAAGCTAGTTTTTGGGGGCAGAGAGCTGTCGAGGAACGAATCCTTGGTCCAGGACTATGGGGTTTCAGATGGGAATGTCCTACACCTGATTCTCAAGCTCTCTGATCTCCTAGTCATCAATGTCAGTACCACTTGTGGGAAGGACTTTGACTTCCATGTTCATAGGCATCAGAATGTGGGGTATCTCAAGCAAAAGATCGCCACGGATGGGAAGGGATATTTTGATTTTGAGGATAAGGATCTCTTCTGTAACGGCGAGAAGCTTGAGGATGTGAGACTCATTGATGACATCAGCACAAACGCTGCTTCTGATGCCGTGATCCACTTGGTAGTTCAGAAATCAGCCAAGGTTCGTGCCAAGCCCGTTGATGGGGATGTCGAACTCTCTGTCGTTGCAGCTAATTGGAACAAGAATGCAGAACCTAACAAAGATCTTCATGCTTTGTCCCAAAAGCCCCCACATAAAGATGTCCTTTTGGAGCCCATTATTGTCAATCCAAAGGTCAAACTGCCCCAAAGTTTGTGGGACATGATCAATTCCGCGCTTGATGGGTTGGCGAATGGGAAACATCCTATAAGATCATCCGAAGGTACGGGAGGAACCTACTTTATGATGGATGGATCAGGAAACAGATACATAGCTGTTTTTAAGCCAATGGATGAGGAACCACTAGCAGTAAACAACCCTCAGAGGTTACCTTTGTCATCCACTGGTGAAGGGCTGAAGAGGGGAACCAAAGTTGGAGAAGGTGCATTTAGAGAGGTTGCAGCTTTTTTACTAGACCATCCAAAGACCGGACCCCACGCAGCATCCAATGGGGACATTGGGTTTTCTGGTGTGCCTCCAACGGTCATGGTCCAGTGCTTGAGCGACGGTTTTCACCACCCGAATGGGTTCAAGTGGTCACCCGAGCACGTCAAGATCGGCTCGCTCCAGTTGTTTGTGAAAAATATTGGAAATTGTGATGACATTGGACCCCGAGATTTCCCAGTGGACGAGGTGCATAAGATCAGCGTGTTCGATATAAGAACTGCAAATGCCGATAGGCACGCAGGCAATATTCTGGTGAGCAGAGGAGAAGATGGGCATATTGTGCTTACACCTATTGACCACGGCTACTGCCTGCCCGAGAAAGTAAGAATGCTTTTTGCTCTTTTATACACGTAGCACTCCATATATGACTCGGGGGGAATAACTAACTAGGACTAAAACATGTTTCATATCGCCAAAAAAGGATTTCTAATACCAAATTATGGCAATACATTATGCAAAAAAATATTGTGAAATGTCAACACAAAATACCAAATTGCTGCCAACACTCATATTTAGGGGATAAAAACATATGAGGTCTTATTTAGAAGATATAGTCTGGATGTTTGATATGAAACTATATCTTCAACATCCCTTCAAGTGCAGCTTGAATCTTTTTGTCTCAAGTTTTCATTTGTTTGTATAGACTTGAGCTTCTTTTTTAGCTCCCAAATCTTGACTCTTTTCTAGTGCTATTGACTCTATTACAATGTAGTATCTGTTCATACCTACTCAACCAAATGACACACAATGAGCCAATATCTCTGCCTCAGTTGGGAATCGAACTTCGGTGAGCTTCCCCATGAATCTTGACGGGTGAACTTTCTGCCACTCAAGCCAAGGGAGAAGTTCCCCAAATCTTGCCTGTGACACTTTACAGAATTAACTTCAACTCCGTTCTTTGCAGTTTGAAGATTGCGCCTTTGATTGGCTGTACTGGCAGCAAGCGCGACAGCCTTTCTCGGCAGAGACAGTGAACTACATAAAGTCACTAAACGCCGAGAAAGACATCGCGCTTCTTAAGTTCCACGGATGGGATATATCCGCGGAATGCGCTCGCGTGCTTCGCATCTCCACCATGCTTTTGAAAAAGGGGGCCGAGCGGGGAATGAGCCCATTCGCGATAGGCAGCATCATGTGCAGGGAGAACCTGAACAAGGAATCTGTGATTGAACAAGTTGTAAGGGAAGCACATGGTTCATTGCTTCCCGGCATGACCAAAACCGAGTTTCTTGAAACAGTCTCCCAGCTAATGGATGCCCGGCTCGAAAACATCTCTTGATGTGTTTGAAAGGAATGGGTGTGCTTATTTTATATATAGAATGGCCAATCCAGTCCATGGTATATAGATGGACTTTAAGGAGGGTGGCAGTATACATATATATTATATATTATATATACATATGTATGAAAACAAATGGTCTGAGGCCTTTGTTCCTTCTATTTTTCTTGTTTTGTTCAACTTTCTCAGTATGCCTGAGCTTATTTGATTTGGGAGAAGTTGAATTATAGTTGGACCTGTTTGAAATATATAAAATTTGTGTATTTATACTGTGTAAACCAGTTGTGTGTGCTATAAGAATTTTTCAAATCCGTGGGTGAAATGTCTCGAGCATGGTGTTTGGAGACGTCTTGATTGACAATGAAATCCCTTGTTAAGTTAGTAAATGTTATTTTTCCCAATGTTGTATCCCAATGTTGCTTGTGTCTACATTTAGAAACTTCTAAAAATTCCCCCAAAGCAAAACTCGTGAGCTACAATCTCCTCCACATTTCAGAAATGGAATCCCAAACACAAAATCACAACCGAAAACCTCACAAGCTACCTCGGAAGCAAACTCCCAACTAACCTCCCGTGAAACCTCCGAGGGCGCTCAGGAAACAACCTCCCGTACTTCTCTATGTGCTCACCGGAGGTTGCTTTCTGAGCGTAAACTATTTGTGTGTGTTATAAGGATTTTGAAGTTGGTTTTTTTCAATCTCTAAAACATCTCGAGTATGGTGTTTGGAGATGTCTTGACAATGAAATCCTTAGTTAAAAAATAAATAGTTATTTATCTTGTCCCCTTTTGACTATCTTGGTTTGTGTACCTGTCTCCTTTGTGAAACTTATTTTGTGTGCATCCCAATGTTGTTTGTGTCGAGGATAAATCTAACATAGTAATAGAGCTTGTTAAGGTGAAAGAGATAATTTGATTAAGACTGGAAAAAGGATTTGGATCGTAAGATAACTGCCTTTTTGGTAACAGTTTCAACATTTAGTTTTAGCATTTTGAAAAAAGTTAGTTAATGATAACGTTTAGTTTTAGCATTATCAAAGTTAATCTGCAACACTAAAGAATAAGGTGCAATTCAAAACACGAACTAAAAACATTATTTCCAAATGAAGCTTTAGTCTCTATTCACTCATGTTTGTAGTCTTAAAATTTTTGTTGCATACAAATTAAAAGTATCTTTTTTCTCTGTTTTTGTTTATTAAAATGATTAAATCTGAAATGATGACACTACTATTACCAATGTACAATTATGGGTGAAAGGAAAGTTCAGTGGTACAACTATATGTGCAAGAATGTGGTTCATACCTTACAAATTAGTGATCATATAAATTTATATTGGTTTGTAATGAAAGTGTTCGAAAGCAACTTATTTATGATGATTTGTGCTATCGTGGTCATAAAGTGTACATGAACAATGTAATCATTCTCACATATATTTTATGGATTCGTAGTTAAATATCACTCATTTTACAAGGCCCAGTACATTATTAGTTTAAGTCTCAAAGTATATAAAATAAATATAGACCACAAAAGAATTCTCCAATTATGATTACCAAACTCATAGTTTTATTTAGTGAACAACTCATTTTATATTAATGAGCACTTAAGTGAAGAAAAATGTTAGATATACCTCAATTTTAACTTTATCTTCTCACAGACATTCACAGACATCCGGCATTATTTAGTGTCTATAAATAATTGTAAGAGTGGGGTGAAAATGGTGTCAAAATTAGGCCTCCCAAGTATTACTCTTAATTAAAAGTTTCCATATACGGAAGATTAAACATGGAATGATATCATTTTGGTCACAAACATCCATATTTATCAAATATTATGTTCGCAATCCTTATTGATTGGATATCATTTGACGTTTAATTCTTGTCTAATAACACCGATACGGAAGTAAATTCAGAGAACTAAACGTGGAATAGTATCCAATTAATAAGGACTGCCAACATAATACTCTGGTATTTGATAAATATAAACTAAATATGGAAAACCCCCATTATAAAAGCATTATTTATAGAATTTATTCTTTTTTAGTGTTATTGACTCTATTACAATGTAATATCTATTCATACTTTTGTCAACGTAATGACGCACAAAGAATCAACGCCCTGCCTTCGCTGGAACTCGAACGTGGATGAACTTACTCATTAATCATGAAGAGTGGACTTCCTACTCTTTAATTTTGGACAAAAAAAAGTGACTAAATTATGGTGTATTAAAGGTCGAGTCTTGAATTCTATAGGTTCACTCCCACGGCCAAACCACCGCCGCCACTCACCATCATCACTCTCTGGCAATATTTTTTTCTCAAATCTAATTTCTTTTTTTTTCCCAGACATTTGGGTTCCAAAGTTCAACAATAAATTTAAAAACTGCAGAACAAGTGTAAATGGAGTGTGCTAAAGAAATTTAATAGGAGAATTTTTTTCAAACTAGTAATCCATGGATGGAACACACCCATTTTTTATTTACATTCAGAGCCATATTACTATTAGCTCAAAAAAAGAAGAAATTGAAACTACTGCACCTACATCTGCAAGGACAATTATTGTTTTTAATAAATAAGAATACATTAAAACCAAATTAAGAAGTATTCTTATTGGCCATATAAAAAGCTTACTACTAGGCATGATGAACAGTTATTGTTGAAAATCATGTAGAGTTCTCAGCAGACCCTTCATAGCCATATGGGTTTTTGCTGGCCCAATTCCACTGATCCTGGCACATCTCTTCAATTGTATACTTTGCCCTGCAAATCAGCATGTCATTGTTCATAAGTAACCCTGTTATTCATTCAACCCAATCTCGAGCCTGCCTCGCGCTTGGGGTCTTTTAAGCTTTAAGCTCGAACTCGGCTCGTTTAAAGCTAGAGCTCAAAACTTATTAGAGCCCTCTGAGGAAATTTTACAAGTGAGATTTTATTTTTTATTTTTTTGGAAAATAACTATTACAATAGTGAGTTTTTAAAAGTTTTCACATGAACTTTTCCTTTTTAGCACTCCTCGAGTGGAAACTTTTTCAATACTAATTGACCCACTATGAGAGAGAGGGGTGAGGGGAAAAAAATTTCCTCATTGACGGGATTCAAGAAATAAAAATAGTTTCCACACCCAAAAAGATTATGTAGGATAATGTGGATGGGAGAGAAAATGTAGAGAGAGATTGGTGAGGAAATTTTTTTCATCACCGCTACTAGCACTCTTAGCTGAACCAGGTTCACGGGCCACAGGCAAGTGGCATTATTCATCGGAGTTGAATGACATTTATTTATGCCCTAATTATGAGTCCTAGTCAAGTTCTCAAGCTAAGCTTAGGCTCATTTATGATCCAAGTAGCAAATCTCAAGCTTGACTTGTTTCATCAAGTAATTGAGCGAAACTCGAGCCTCAACGAGCTAAGTCGATTTTGAGCCAGACTCATTTCGTATAACAACACTATTCTTAAGGGTGTGAAGAACAATATTGGTTTATGCTCTTTCTTTGAAGAACTTACTTCCAGTTTAGTTCACGTTCTGCCTTCTCAGTTGCTGCATAGACAACTTCAGCATCACCAGCACGTCGGCCAGCCATGACCAGTGGAATCTTCTGTATGAGCAGCAGAAGAAGTTTCATTAGTGCATGCATTGCTTTATGGAAATCTTTAAACTGGAAAGCACAACGGAAATTACAATTAAGACTCGAACAGATCTAACGGCTCTATACCTTTCCGGATGCCTTCTCAAATGCTGCTACCATTTCCAAGACAGATGTACCCTTCCCAGTTCCCAAGTTGTATACTTCACAACCTGATGAAAGAAAACAGAAGAAAGTTTACAAAGAGAACTATTATATAGAATGGAGCCGTTTGAAATTGTGGTTGGGAAGTGCCTTTCAGTTCTCCAGATGCCCCATGTTTGGCATTCTAGTTTATTGCTTCTCCAAATGCCAATACAGAAAAGCATCAATTTATTGTTATTGTTCCAATAAGCAATGTTAGCTCTACATCATAGGATTTGGGAAACACTAACCCTATGTTTGTTTCAAGGAAGTTTGAAAGGAAAGGTAAAAGGAAATGATTTCTCTCATTTTCCTCAGAAAATGGAAGGAATTCAGTTTTCCTACTTAGCTTATTTTGTCTTCTATATTTCTTTTGCTTCCACTTTCTTTTTCTTTTTCCTATCTAACCAAACATGAAAAATTGCTTTCCATCTCATTTCTTTTCTTTTCCCTCTCAAATTACTTGACTCAATAATAGTGTAATGAAAGTTCAAAAATAGCACACAAAATCCAGATGCTAAGCTTCTTTACACACTCCTATGCTGGAATGCAGTGTCGCGTACCTATTGAAGAATCACCCAATTTATTCAATGCAGCAACATGGCCGTCTGCTAAATCAACAACATGAATGTAATCACGTACCTGGAGAGCAGACCATTATAATTGAAGAGACTCGGGGCTCACATAAGAATTACAATTAAGAACGTATGTTTTTTAAAGAAAGCAAGATGCATACCCCTGTACCATCGTTAGTTGAGTAATCAGTTCCATAAACAGTCAGCACAGGCCGCCTTCCAACAGCAACTTGTTGTATAAATGGCATGAGGTTGTTGGGGATTCCCCGTGGGTCTTCGCCAATATGGCCACTAGGATGGGCACCAACTGGATTGAAGTATCGGAGCAATATGATTTTCCACTCAGAGTCTGATTGGCGTACATCACGACACATTTCTTCAATGAAAAGCTGAGAGATCAAGTCTTATCAATTGATATCATGAATTTGAAACATCATGTGCATTTTTTCTGAATGTTCCAACTTGTTGTGGAGAATTAGCTGTTGAAGCTTTTCTAGAAGTCATGACATCATAATAAAAACATTGCTTACCCCATGATAAGATCATTGAATAGCTCACAAATACGTTCATCATCGTCATTGGAAAGGCAATAAATTAGTTCATTTTACAAATAACAAATCTAGTAACAAGAAATGAAGAAATGGTCTCTCCTAATTTATTCACTTGGTACCACAATAATGAGTCAATATATTTGCCAACATGAGCAGTAACTTTTTCTGCATCAATAGTACATTTTTCAACAGGCATAGTTTTCTAGTAGTGATACATCAAATCCGAGGATACATTGATACAAACAATAATGTGAGATACTATGATTCTGATTTATGACTACGTTGGTAGTCCAATTGATAACCACTCAACATCTAGGTAACTTGTCTTTATTGGTGGAAGCTTAACTCTCGAAAAAAACAAGGTGTGGTAGCGAGAGCAAGTTTTAAAGCATAATACTAATGGCTCATGCATGTGAAAAATCATGGTTGAAATTCCTCCTCCAGTAATGAGCATACAGAAGAAAAGAACCAATACAATGAATGTGTGAAAATCAAGCAACAATACATATCGCATCAAAAACAATATTCCATGAAAAGACTAAACACCTTGACGTGATTGCCACATTATTCAAGAAAAGATCATATCTGGACATACTGTCACAAGCTATATAACACAGACTACAAGCTTTCAAACATTTTCACATACTCTCTTAGAAGTCATAAAATAAATTATATTTTTGTGACAAGCTTGGTGCATATGAGTTAAATGCTCCAGCTTGAGGAATGTGGAGATTTAGGGGGTGTTTGTTTTTTCTGCAGGAAAAGGTCTGCGGTCTGCGGACCACTACTGTAGACATCTGCAGGAGAAGTGGTGGACCGAAGGTCTGCGGTCTGCAAGAAGAAGACTGTTTGTTTTTGTAATGTCTGTAGACTGCTATATAAATTAATGGTGGTAGTGTACGGTGGTGGTGTATGGACGATTGTGGTGGTGGTGGAGGGTGGTGGTGGACGTTGACGGTGGTGGTGGTGGACGGTGGTGGCAGTGGCGGTGGTGGTGGACGACGATGGTGGTGGTGGACGGTGGCGGTGGACGGTTGTGGTGGTGAAGAGAAGTAGAAAAAAAAGGAGAAGATGTTAGAAGATGTTAGAAGACATTGGTTAATGTCTTCTCCAAGAAGATGCCAGGAAGACCTTTTTGAGTGAAATGTCTTCCAAAAAACAAACAATCTGCAGAGCCCATCATCTGCGCGCGTCTGCGCGGCGCAGACAAAAGACGCCAGAAGGTCTTCTGGCAGAAAAACAAACACCCCCTTAGTGTTTGGAGCTTTTATAGAAGTCAATACATCACAGTAAGTCATTGCTTACGATGACATCGCTGCCTAGCTCACAAATCACTTCATCTTCATCATTATAAAGGTCATAAATACAACTCACTTGTACAAATCTATTGAGAATTCCTCTCCGATTTTTTTCACACTCTTAAAAGCAACAAGGCTTGTCGTTTCAAAATCAAGAATCAACACACTAGACAGTTCAAGTACCTTTGTTCTCCCATATGGATTTGCAGCATTTATAGGGAACTCCTCTGTGCATGGGACTACTTTTGGCCAACCATAAACAGTGGCAGATGAAGAAAACACAAGCTGGGATGAAGAAAAACATCGTCAGGGTTACCTGTCAAATAAATAAAGCATAGGCTACTAGCGTGAAAACTGAGAGCTACGTTTTTGCATCCATGGGCTGCCATCACTTCCAAGAGAGCAATTGTACCGATAAGGTTGTTGTTATAATACATCAGAGGTTTCTGCACACTTTCCCCAACTGCTTTTAATCCAGCAAAATGGATAACAGCATCAAACCTGCAAGTATTGAACTGATAAGGTTAAACATGATAGCAATACATAACACATCAACATACAAATACATGAAGATCGTTTGTTTGCAAGGTCAAGCTCAAACTGGAAGTGAATATGAGTTACTCCAAATAAATTAAAATTTCCAGTTTTCAAAGGTTGCATGTCATTAGTTATCAACATCCAGATGAGAAACAACAACAACAACAACCAGATGAGAAAAAAAAATAAAATGAACTGGATTTCTTCAATTGAATTTTAAATTCTAAATATCAAAAAATCATTAACTAGAACCATGTGGTATCAACTTACTTATTTGAGGAAAAAAGCTTCTCCAGTGCAGGTTTATCACGAATATCAATCTGCAAGTGCAGTCATTAGATTCATATTTATATCGATGAATTACAGAAAAACTGAAGAATTCAAAATCCCTCTACACTGAAATCTGTAAATATAAGTCCACAAAACAAAGACAGAAACCGCACATGAACTAAAGCACACCCAAACTACAGATATTCCTATGAACATTTCCTTGGTAGTCATGAAGGAATCCTCAAACCCAATTTCTAGTACTATAGTAGTTTTCCTGCGCGTTGAACATTAATGTTATTATTTCTCACTAATTAATCCTCAATTGTTCAATAATTAAGATAATTATTCTTTGTACTTTTGAAATTTTCAGTGTCAAACCACTGGTGCATAGTCAAACAGTATAATCATGATAAAGCCACTTTTTTAAAAATAATAATGCAAGTCCATATGAAAAAAATCACTCAGAAGAAGAACCCAACCTCAATTGAGCACAATACATTACAAAGTTTCTTCAAAAGTCAAAGATAACCACATGCAGAATCATTACAAAACCTAGCATCACAATCCAAGCAAATATGCCAATAAAAAGTTTACCCAAAAAATTTAAAAAAAAAAAACAAAAACCACCTGAGAGAGAAGAGTAAAAAAATAAGGGATACCGAAAAGATACCTGATGAAAAGCGAGATTGCGGCCATATTCGCCAGCAAGCTCTTGCACTCTGTTGATAGCAATAGGCGAAGAATTGTCCAGATTATCGACCACGACGACGGCGTATCCACCCAGGAGCAATTGCAGCACCGTGTGGCTCCCGATATACCCTGCTCCGCCGGTCACCAGAATGTTCCTAGACATCGCCGCGGCGCAATTCAGCAAACGAAAGACGAGAGCAATCCCGCTTATAAACTGCGGAATTCCGGAGAAAACGAGTGATGAGCGCCTAGATTCTGCAGATTTTCGCTGAATTTAATGCCTTCACGAGAGTTATGATAGAGTTCCAGAGGACAACATACACGATGGACAGCACTTTGTGATGTGCAGAGCGAAAAGGCGAACAGGTTTTAGGCAATATACCCATGTCAAGTGGACAAGTGGTCTGTTTGTTTGCACTCGCAAAGGCAAATTATACCCCGTCCCAAAACTCCCAAAAAAAATACTAGAGTCACAAACATGTAGTTCACACACTTCATAAACTTGCTTTTTGTGGATTTTAAATTAAAATATATTTTATCATTTGAGTGCATCTTATTTCTATGAAAGTATTAAAAAGGTAAGTTTGTGAATTTTGTGAACTATTTATTTGTGACTCTAGCATTACTCCTCCCAAAATTATTTGTTAGTCCCTTACAAAAAGTTTGGTTATTGAAATTATTTTCATCAATCTATAAAAAACTACCCGGAGTAGTTGAAATTTAAAAGTGAAATATATATATATATATATATATATATATATATATTTCCTCCGTCTTAAAACTATCTTTATCTTTGAGTTTACGAGGTTTGACCAATTTCATTTTCAATTTATTTAATTGTAGGTGTAAAATTAAAAAATAAAACTTATATATTTAAACACTACATCAAAAGTTCTACAAAACAAGAGGTAACATGACTATATTATTTTATCAAATAACTAATGAAAATAAGTAAAGAAAATGATTTAAGTTTGACCGTGTGAATAGTAACTAGGAAGATAGTTTTAGGACGAAGGGAGTATTAAATTATTGAATCAACAAAATCTATGAAGTAACATGTAAGATGACTATTTTTTATCAAATAAATAATAAAAATAGACTAACAAAACGAACAAAATTTGACTCTATCAAAAATAGTGAACGAAAAGATAATTTTAAAATAAATAAAATACTTTTTTTGGGAAATTAACTTAAATGGAACTAAATATAATGGCTTTGTGAAATTTGCACTAAATAGTACTAACAATATGTCATTTCCCAATGTAGTACTGATGGAGGATAACCCCACATCGGCCTAGGGCTAACGTCAGCTGCGCCCCTCGTCCACATGAAAGAGCGCTCGGCTCGGCCGGGTCTACACGTGCTCGGCCTACGAGCTCGGCTCGGCCGCCTCAAACTCGGCTCGGGCTGCATGAAAGGGACAAGATGGAGGGTCAGGTGACGTCCGCTAAGCGACGAACCTTGATCAGAGGGCTTTGACCAATTGTATTGTGTACTCTGTAAAAGGGTTGGGACCCTTCATTGTAAGGGATCCGATTTTTGAGTGAAGATACTCCTACTTTGCATTCTCTCTCTAAACTATATATAATTTAATATCTTCAGTGATTTATAGCCATTAAGTACTTATATATTTTTATATCCTAAATAACATTTGAATAAAAACTAATATGAAACCTTTTTTTTAGATTTTTTTTAAAAAATTACTTTAAAAAAACATTTTTAATTAAATAAACTAAGATATCTTTTAAAATAGAGCATCAAAGTGTAATACGGAACTTAAAAAGTAGAATTTTAGTATTTGGGTCTTTTAGGTCCAGTAGGGTCATTAGGTCCATTCGGGTTTGGACCGGACCAAAACCCGAATGCCTAAATTTTTTGGACCGAAGACCGACCCGAAATTTTTTGAAACTATTTTCTGGAAGAAAGTTTTTTTAAAAAATATTTATGAAAAAGGAAACAAATTTGAAAAAAAAGACAAAAAAAGAAAATTAAACAAAGATACTAAAGTGAGGGAACTAAATGTTATTATCATAAAATGATAATGACCACATATGAAAAAATGCATTTATTTAGGCTTATGGATGAAGTATGGATGAAATCTCTCATCTTAGTTATTAAAGAAATCACCCTTAATAGGACTAAAGCATAGAGTTTATGTCCAAAATAAGACTTTTATCTTTTTATTCTCAAAATAGGACCAAACATCACAATTATACCCTTGTTGCTCTTGCCCTCTCTTCTGTGTGAACTCTGACGCCCTCAATCTCCTTTCTCTTTGTTTTGTTTTCGTCTCTCTTTTGTGTTTTTTTCTTTCGTCCCTATTTTTGTTTTCTTTCCCTCTCCTTCCTCTTGTTTTGCATACAAGTGCCACCTTTTTTCTTCTCTTTTTCATTGTACATTTAGTTACTAGTTATTAACTTCCTCTATATTTCATTTTTCCTTATTTGACCCATTTATCTTTTTGTGTTTAATCACTTAATGCTTAAAGAAATAAAATATAGAGAAAATGTTAAAATAAGAGTTCCATGTTTTTATTCTCTAAATATATGTTCGCATTGTGGTAACATGACACTCTACATAGACATTTATCGTAAGGTACATGGTCATGCTGGGTTATTTTAATTCAAATTTTGTAAATAAAAACATGAAAAATTAAATTCTATTTTGTTATATTTTCATTTTTTACTCCCACTTTAGAGAAAGTACAAACATTGGAGCTCTATTTTTTTACTTTCAAAATAGAGTTTGTATTGTGATAATGTGACATATGGACATGTGGTTCAAGTACTTGTGGTCTTGTGGACATGTAGCGCGACCAGTGAGGAAAAAATGGTTCTGTGTCACAAGTGGCGAGGGGTATTTTGGGTATGGAGACACAAATTTAGTCCTATTTGAGGGATTTAAGTTTTGGAGTCCTATTTAAGTATATTTGATATGTTTTAGTTCTATTTAGAGTTCTTCCCTTAGTTACTACAACAAAATGTAAATTATCTTTTTAAAAATAAAGGGAATTGAAAATTATTTTAACAAAATTTGCATCACTCCTTCACTAATTTTCTGAAAAAAAAATTAGTCAAAAGTGTTAGAGTTGGGGTCACATACCCAGTGAAGAAAACTCTCAAACCCTTCGCCCTTCGCCATCGCCATTCTAATATTTCCAAGTAACCGCGATCTTCCTCATTCCGTTTCGTTTCTCTTTCGAGTGTCTCAGCTGTGCTTCATTTTTTGATATTCGGATAAAAACTCAATCTTTATGATTTCTTGGTCTTAGTATTCATCCAATTCAAACTGGGATTCTACTGGGTTGTTGTGGTTGCAGTGTTCATCCAATTTAAAAATGGCGTTCAGACGGAGTATAACCACGAGAGCTAAGCTCTTTTACCAGCAACAACCGCAGATTGCGCCATCGTTTTCCCACGTTCAACGGGAGGATGACCGGAAAACCATCGAGCTCAACTCCAGTGATCCCAAAACATTTAGCTATGCTCAATTCAGATACATTGGTAATGGTGTTGGTGGCATCAGACACCCACTTCTGGGGCCGCGATTTCCGGCTCAGCTGGTCATGCCTCCCATGAGCTTGGGAGGTTGTACACTCAGGAATATGTCTACAGGTGATGCAGTGGAAAAGGGCACGGCAGAGTTTGTGACTGATTTTGCGGATGTGCTGACAGATAAGGTTGTTGAGGATGTGGTTTCTCAAGCTCCGGCGGTGAATGAGGTGGCAATGGCTGCTGCGGACAGCTTTTTTCCGGTAGCCGCATTGCAGTACTTGATTGATTATGTGCATTGCTTTACTGGATTTAATTGGTAAAACGTTACATCTCTTAGTGTACTTGATTGATTATGTGCATTTCTTTTCCTCTCACTTTTCTTTTCTTTTCTTCTCTAACCAAACTGGGAAAAACAATTTTCCATCTCATTTTCTTATATTTTCCCTTTCAAATTCATTGAACCAAACACAGTGTAGATGAAATTATATTTGAATTTGATGATATGATTAGGTTTTGTGCGTCTGAACATATGGGTTGTAGAATTTGAATCATAACCTAAGGCTGTTTGCATGTTCTAACGTTAGGCTAAACCTAAATTGTCATGCTTAGAATATTGCTTTTTTGGATTTGCACAAACAATGTGTAAAACCATGTCCCCTCGGTCAGTGGGCACAAGATTACATACTTGATACATCCTCGTTACGTGTCCAATGTCAAACACTGAGAAAGCACTTAAAATTCTTAACCTCCTGAAGATTTATGTTTTGAACATTCTTAATGTATAAAGCCTCAACTATCCTGATTTGCATTTTGGGTGTTAAAATAGTAGTACGGCATGACCCTGACCACTTTCTGATAATGTGACTTGTTTCAGGTGGGCATCGATTATTGCAACGAGTATTATGATTAGATTGGTAACTCTGCCATTGAATATAAATCAGCTCAAATCCATATCAAGATTAACAGTAAGTATTTATATGCAATTCTAGGTGTACCACTTTTGATTTGTGCTCAGCTCTCATAAAGGACAGTGAAAATAGATGCTCTAGTTTCCTCACAGAATTACGAATGCCATTATAACCTAAATTAGGCATTCCATATATTACACTATGGAATGCCATTATAACCTAAATAAGGTTTAGTGCAAAAAGTGATCCATCAGTGGCACTGGTGGATTTCTCTTGCGGTTGCAGTGGTCACCAGCTGTGATTCTGTGAAGTGGATCTTCGAGGGTTATGGGGGTCCACCCAGGTTGCCAACTGTGGTGAGAGTTGTTGGCTCTGATTTTTTTTGTTTCCAATAATAACTTTATCTTTTTTCTAAAAAGCCTTTTTTATCTGTTTCTTAATACAAGTTTAATACCATCTGTCTTTTTTTATATTTCCTCTATATTAGTAAGGTTGAATGATGTGTGATGAACGCGAATGCGAATGAGAGACAGTAAACACGTGCAGATACACATAATACTAGTTGCACTTTTTTTTTAGTATTGGGCATGAATAGTGGATACTTCAATTTTTATATCCAGCCTAGCCAACCATAATGATAACATACTTTTGGGTTATCTAAATTATCTTTTTTTTTATGCCCCATACACTATATGAAATCTTGAAGGGTTGACATACAGTCTGTATTTCTTACATTTTTACAACTGTCATATTTAATCCTGGGTTTCGTTATCCTTATTCCTTGATTGCACATTGATATTGATTCTCTTGTGCTCAGCTTTTGAGGCCAAAATTGGATGAGATAAGAGAAGACATGCAGAACAGGGTATACTCACTTTGGGCTTTTCTATTGTCTTAATTTGAAACTTTGCATGCTACTTTGTTACACTAGTTCATTTGAACAACACTCAGTCCATCCATCTAATTTATGGATCTCGCGATATCTCGCTGCATTGTCATTTATTTTTCTATCAATATGGATCACTATCATAGTCTCTTCGAGACTCCGTATCCTACTTAAGATGGTAACATGTTGGATAAAGAAAAAGTCGAGATAGATTGATGGCCAGGTTAAGGTTTTGTGACGTCTAAGGATAGTGGACCCCATAAATACTAGTGTTAACCTGAATGAAGGTGTTATGTGTTATACGGAGTATGATTCATTGATTCCTCGGTATCCTAAACAAGTCATAGCCCATAGGTTTTCATGCATTTGCAAATTTCCATTCTATATCATTTCTTTATAACGCAATAATGCACGAGAGAAAGATAACTAGTGTGTTTATTTTGACAGGGAATGAGCCCGGCAGCTGTGAATGAGGGTAAACAACGAATGAGTGCGCTATTCAAGGAGTATGCTAATCTGCTTTAGTTCACCTATTCAATATATTCTTTTTTTCTTTGTATGTCCATATTTTTAAGATGATACGTGTAATGCAGGTATAAGGTTTCACCCTTTACTGCCATGAAGGGGATTTTTATTCAAGGCCCTGTTTTTGTTTGCTTCTTCCTTGCTGTAAGTTTGAATTCTCTCGACCTGATGCTCGTTTTGGTTGATTGCATTTTTTGGGGTCAGATGTTTTTAGGATTGTCCTCATGAAGTTCTCATTTTCGGCATTATACACATAAATCCCTACATTTTTAACTTCATGTAGACAGTGGGTGATCACATGTCTAGTGTCAAGGGAGCTAAAATAGTCTCTATTGATAATGCTTTTACTCATCAAACTTCCTTTTCTTCGCACTTGCTATGAAGTTTTGGGTAGTAAATGCAACAATGCATCAATGGTCAAATGGAAACAGTCTCTCTATTTATTTGAGGTGATAATGTTAAGCTGTTGGCTATGTATACATTTTCATAGTGATTAAAGGCATCATATGATCATTTTCAGTGAAAAATAAGTGTCTTTACTTAGAGACTTTTTTGTATTTGCGGAGGTTTCAAAATCATGATTTATTTGCACAATCTTCAACACCTTGATACAAAATGCAATTAAGCAATTTCTTTTGCGTAGTTTGGTGATTTTATTCCTATTTCTTTTAAAAAATTTATTCATATGAATGCAGATCACTAACATGGCAGAGAAAGTCCCTTCTTTCAAAGAGGGTGGTGCATTCTGGTTCACTGATTTGACTACCCCTGATGGAACATATATCCTCCCAATATTAACAGCATTGTCATTCTTGATTACGGTGGAGGTGAGATATCTCATCAGCAATGTGTAGTTTCTTTTCAACTAGCAAGAAATGGCTTGCTGCCCAAAACGTTCTTGGTCCCAATGTATGAAATTCATAGTTGAATCAGTAGTTAGGTTTTTGGAAATGTACGTACACTAGCTTCTCTAGTTCGTTTGACTGCACATTCACAACACCTTTCTAGCCTTTACACCAACATAATGCCGTGTTCTTTTCATATCGTGCACCACTAATATGTTACTCCTCTGTCCCAATTTTAAGTTGTAAGTTTACTATTCACAGGGTCCAACTTTAATCACATTCTTTACTCATTTTCGTTACTCAGATGTTAAAATAACAGTCATGTCACCCCTTATTTTGAAGACCTTTTGATATACTCCCTCTGTCCCCCATAGATCTTCCCAATAGTCTTTTTTCTTTGTCCACAATAGATCTTCTCATTTCACTTTTTAACAATTAAAATACCACAACTACCCCCACTTACTTTATTTATTACACCTCACCCACCTCATTTAATACACTCCACCCATTTTCATTAAGGGTATTATGGTAAACTTTCACCTTTTTCAACTCTTCTTAAAAACCACTAAAAGTCAAAATGAGAACATCTTAGAGGGACGGAGGGAGTAGTTTTTAAATATATAAAATTTATTTTTTAATTCTAACCCAATTTTCATATAAATTCATTTGAAAATAACTTCAGGCAAACATCGTAAACAACAACAGACAACTTAAAATGGGACGGAGGGAGTAGTTTCCAAGACAATATTAGAGTCAGTCTGTGTGCAAAAACAACCCAGTTAAATCCCACAAGTAGGGTCCGGGGAGGGTGTGTATACGTAGACCTTTTCCCTGCTTGAAACTCGAAAGTAGAGAGACTGTTTCCAAAGAGACCCCCGGCAGCTCGAGAGTTGCATTGATTGACTAACTGCTACCTCATGAATAAAAGAAGCACACACAGTTTAGAGATTCATTTTGCTTTATTCCATCACACCCCAAAGCAAAAAAAAAATAGTGGATTTTTGGCTCCATGAGAGATGATGGAAAATGAAGGGTGTTTGTGTGCATGGAGGCATAATTCTTAATCTTTTCACAGTTTCATTGATAACTAAGAATGCTAACACAAAGGTGCCTTTTCCCCAGTGCAATGCCCAGGAAGGCTTGGAAGGAAATCCTGCTGGTCCTATAATTAAGAATGTTTCAAGATTCTTTGCCGCCCTTACTATCCCATTGACAGCAACTTTCCCTAAGGTACATCCCAAGCACTGGTTTTGCAAAACGATGCTTTACATATTCAATATTTTTATTTGCATCCACTTTTCATGTTGCATAACTTTGTATACCACAAGTATTATAATTAGAGAAATGCTAGAGTCGTAAACTAATTGGGTAACAGAATATACAATCTTACTATATGTGTACCTCACCAAGAGAACAAAATGATCTTAAATAATTAAATTGTAGAAATTTAAACGCTGAGTTAGCAAGTTTGTGTATTTTGTGACCCTTGCGTATGTGAATCTAGCATTTCTCTTATAATTATCGTCTCCCATAAGAAAATTGAATTTCTTTGAACTTCACTGAGGCCTTCGGGTTTATTGTTCGCGTAAATATCTTGATATATGATTTTCTTTAGAAATGAAAGTTCTATCTTATATCCATAATATGATTAGTGGTTCAACCATTGCAGGCTATATTCATGTACTGGATTACCTCCAATATTTTCTCCCTAACATATGGATTGAGTGAGTTAATTCTCTCAAAGAATTGTCTCTCTACACATTTTTTCCATCTTTAATATCTCGTCAAATAATCTCTTACCGGATTAATTCTTATGTTTTACAAGTACTTAAAAAACCTGAAATGAAGAAGCTATTGGGAATACCTATAATCCCTGTGGCCCCATCCCCGGCTGCCCAGGAACCGCGACTCTCTTTTTTGGAAGCAATAAGTAAGTATTCTGCGTCACAAGATCAGGCACAATCAGCACCTAGTGATGCTTCCAAACCTTCGAAGCAAAGAATACCGTCATCCTCGGTTCTAAGCCAAAGGCTACGAAGCTTAGAGAAACAAGTCAGAGAGAGGAAGAAAGGCAAGAAAATGTGATGAGCATCACATTGCAAATTTGCAGCATCTTTTGAATGAAATGCTGGACATAATTTGTTAATCATTGGGAGAAACTTTCCCAAGGTTTTGACTTTGATTTCTTTTCTTTTTTTGTTTTTTTTGCAGTTTTGTTAATAGTTTTTAGAACCCTTTCTTGCCTGTTTGTTTAAATTTGTTTTTTTCCAATTGTTTTAGACCAAATTCTGGATTTCCCAATTTTCGGTTTAGTGTTGTTTTTTGTTGTTGTGCAAACACTATACCTCTAGAGGAGTATGTTAAATTGCACCGGTATTCTTTGAAGTTAATGCATTATGTACGTTTGGTCTTTTAACTTCAAATATTCTACGAATCGCCCTTTAAGTCACGTTAACGTAGCATAGTAGGTACTCTCGTTAATTCTTATGTTAATCCATTATTTTTTCCATATTCCGTTAGCGTTGCACAGTAGGTTCTTTCATTAGTGTTGCATAGTTACTCTTATTTCTAGTAGTCTAATTTTTTTAAATAATACAAGTAACAAGTTATACCTACTTTAATTGGTCTAACTCTTTTTAAAAGAAAAATTGTTAAGAATAATCTTAATTTTACCTAGTTTTTTAAAAATAATTCTACATTTTACCGTGATGCATAACGATGAAAGTTAAGTTGCTAACGATGGGGTAATGGAAAGGACATGTTTTGTGCAACAAAATGAAAGTTAGAATTATTTGTTTTTTAATTTTTATGAAATTTTCATTTAAATTTTAAAAATAAGTTTTTGTCTCCTTTTCATTTTCTTTTTTTAAAGATTAATCTTAATTCAGAAAAAATAAAAAAGGCAATATAAACAATAACGAAAATGAGAAAATATTTAAAATCTTATCAAATTAATGAAATAAATAAGGTAATCAATAGAAGTTAAACAGAAATTGATGAGAAATAAAATAAAAATATAAGGAGTGGTGGGTTTTAATATTTTACGTATTATACAAAGTATTAATGTAGAACTTATTTTTTGAAAGAAACATGTAAAGTTGAGATTATTCCGAATAATTTTTTCTAAAAAATGAGGTAAAGTTTTCATGTGAAATGTAGATCTCATCACAAGAAACAAGTAAAGTTTTGACGTGAAATGTAGATCTTCTCCCATTTTTATAGACTCACAAGTGATATTTTTTCTAAAAACACAATTCTCTTATACTCCCTCCGTTTATGTGACTCGGCTACGGTGCATCTAGTTAATACGGAGTAACACTTTCTCTGTCTCATATCTTTCTTTTTGTTTTGAACAACGTACAAAATCTCATTTTTTTAAAAATGATTTATTTACATATATGTATAGAAATAAAGAATATAACTAACATCATTCAAAATTGCATAAAAATTTCTACATTACAAAAAATGACAAAAATATTTCATTTTAGCAAAACATACTAAATTTGGGAAGGAGGGATACTTAATACTCCGTATCTAACTCATTAGTGAGTGGACCACGGGGTATGTATGCAGACGCTTTCCCTGTCTACACCATATATATCTCACCAATCAATTCGATCTACAAGTCTAAACTGGTAGCTTTCCTACTCCCTCCAAAGTCCAAAGTCCTCTTCCATCGTCTTCATAAAAATAGAGGGGCGACAAATACAGAGAGAAGAAGAAGAAGAAGATCAGATATGTCAACCGACAGGTTTATTGTGGAGGTAGAGCCCGCCAAGGCGGCTACCGGCGGAAAACCGTCAGTCGGGCCGGTGTACCGCAGTGTCTTCGCCAAGGATGGTTTTCCGGCGCCCATTCAGGGCCTGGATTGTTGTTGGGACATTTTCCGGTCAGTTTTTCCCCTGCCGTTTTGCTTTCAGACCATTGAAATTTATCCCTTTCCCCTGCTGTGTTTTTTTACGAAGTAAATCTGTCTGAGAAAGTGTTTGAATTTTGCGTTTGATTTAATCTAATTCAAGTTGGTGATACTTGTGATTAGTGTGAAAGGGAAGTGGTTAGTTGACCTGCTCAAAGAGTGGTTCTCCAGGGCATTCCTTTGTCCAATGTCTGATTGGTTTGAAATGCTTTCTGTTTTCCCCTTTTGAAAGTTACTCTTTAGGGAAATATCTTTTCCTTTTTATTTGAAACCGATGTGTTGGAACTTACGAACAGTGAATTGATAAATGGCATCATCATTTGAGAGGCTTAGAGAATAAGGAATCACATATTTACACATTGAGCTTGAAATCATAATCTTATTAAGAGTTCATTACTTTAAATTGCAGTGGATCTTGCAAGGAGTTACAATGACCAAGTGAACTAAAATTCATGCTACCTTTGCACACTCATGACTTAAGATACCTTTGATGGTAAAATGATGCGAGATGACACAATGTGAGCCAATCATTTCAAAGCGTGATAATACACCAAGAGAAGGAGGGGAGGGAGTTTGGACGTACAGAGAGAGAGAGATTACGGCAGAGGCAAGAGGGAGAAGAAAGAGGAGAGAATTAGGGTTTAATTTTCCTTGATGATTAATATGATATGGGAACATCTCTTTATATAGAGTTAGAGAAACCCCCCAAAAACCCTAATTAATCTACGTTGTCTATCCTGAGGGTTCAAGAAAAGAGACGAGGTAAAGAACCGTAAAGAAACCCTCGAAGGAGTGTTATAATTCCACTCACCTAGAAAAATCTAACAAATACATCAATAATATGAAATAAAGTATTAAATCAAATAAAGTCTTTAAAACGGGCTGGTGGTTTAACCGTTCGTCCCAAACGTCTAAGATTGCTCTCCATTGTAATGCTACCGGGCTGGTCCGCTTCTGCATGCTCCGAGGATTCCTCTGGAACCGATGCCGTATCACGTGACAATATTACAAAAACATGACCTTGCATTTGATTGGCTCACATCGCGTCATGTCACGTCATCTCACCAAATGTCATAAAAAGTAGTTGATATATATGTGTGTGTGTGTGTGTTTATATATATATATATATATATATATATATATATATATATATATATATATATATATATATATATATAAACTTTCTTCCCACTTCCCCTTTTTCCCCGTCCTAAAACTACCTTCCCATTAGAAAAAAAGATGACAAATGACATTAATACCCTCATGTATTTACACCAATTATCTTCTAACTCTATATTTTGAATGATTGCAAAAAAAAATTTCAAAAAATCTTTTTAAGGAGGGTAAAATTTGAAATCAAAGCCAAAAATTAAAAATGGGGAAATGTCAAACTGGGAAGAAAGAATTAGGACAGAGGGAGTATATATTGTCACATCATCTCACCAAATGTCATAAAAACTAGTCATACACACACACACACACACACACACACATAATGCGGTTTAGGTGAGAATGGTCCTTACTGCGAGAAATGCAAATGGTACATTTTCAAGCCGCTGTGTTGCATTATACACTTGTAGTAGTTCATTTTCGGCACTAACAAAAGTTTGATTTATTTACAAAATTGCCACTATGATTTTTTAATTTTTTAAGATTTTGGAGTTTTAATAGCCCTTAGGAATCTAATGAATCATATGCATTTTCAATTTTTTCATCATGCATCATTCTCATTTGAACTATATATATATATATATATATATATATATATATATATATATATATATCTGTATGTATGTATTTATTTATTTATATATAATATCCTACACATTCTTGCTTTTTTGTTGTGAATTTTGTGACCATATTATTTGTGATTCTAGCATTTCTCAAGTTCAATTGAAATAACAGAAAACTTTTCTACTCCAACAAAAAGCAAGAATGTGGGTATTGTAGGAAAATAATAGGAAGAACAAATCAAATGCAGAATAGAATTCTGATTTTTTATTGTGAACTACATACAAGAATTCTATGTTCCTGTATTATTTATAGACAGCAACCAACACAACTTTTGGTACTAATCAACACATCTATTACTAACTAATGCAACTTCTAGAAATAACTACCCATAACTATCCCTTTTATTTTTAAAATTTAAATCTAAACTAACTTCTGACCAGGAATTAAACAATACGATTAAATCTAACAATCACCCCCCTAATCGTTATTTGTTCACACTAATCTTTACAATAATGTTGGTTCATCATCATCTTCAATCAAATTTGCAATGTCTTCCTTTTGATCCCATTTTAGACATTCGTTCAAAAAATGTCCTAACTCATTGCACTTGAAACACTTAATGTGACTCTTATCCCGCTGAAACCGACCACCATCCTGACCTTTCCCGGACCCCCGACCTCTACCTCGGTCACGTCCAAAGTCTTCTCGGTTTGAGCTCTAGCAACCACAATGCTCATATTTGTGCTCCTGAACCTTCTCTTTTCTATCACCTTTTGTGAATAATAGCTTACCATGTGTATCTCCTTCCTCCGTTGGCTTTCTGATGCGTTCCTCGAATGCTTTCAATCTTCCCACCGCTTCTTGAAACGGCATTGTGTTAATGTCAGCAAACTGTTCAATTGCAGCAACGATTTGTATGAACTTTTCAGGCACAAAACCCAAAAGCTTTCGAACCAATCTTTTGTCTTCAAATGCAGACCCAAGGTTGTTTGCTTGTGTTGCAAGTTGACTAATTTTACCAGCAAAATCATCAAGTGACTCATTGTTCTTCATCTTTAGAGTCCCAAAATCTGATTCAAGTGTCTGTAATTGCGCCGCTTTAACCTTGTCAACACCAACGAAGCGAGTCTTCAAAGCATCCCAAATTTCTTTTGCTTCAGTAAACTGAGCAACTTGTAGTACGATCTCTTATGGCAAAGCTGGTAACAGATATGCTATTGCCATATTGTTTTTCTTTGGATCGATTTCTGTTCCTGGTTCGATCACCTCCCAAATCCCATTAACATTAAAAATTGCTTTGATCTTCACGGCCCAAATAGTGTAGTTTGTAGCAGTTAGAATTGGAACCTGAAAAGATAGTGAACTATTTTCCCTTGTAGTCACAATTTGTCTGTTGTCTTCCATTGCACGACTTTAATTCCTTTGACAATTTTCACAAAATTCTTAGACTTTGATTCCTTCCTGGGTCGTAAGCCACTTGTAATCGACC